AAAAAGATAAAAGAATTTTATTAATTGATTTAGATCCACAAGGTAATCTAACTCAATGTTGTCAATTAAATCCCCATAAATCACTTGCAAGTGATTTATTTTTAAAGGAAAATTTAGAAATAGATAGTATTGTTTGTAAAACAAATTTTAATAAAATTAATATTATTCCTACAAATATATTAATGGCAGATTTAGAAATTAAATTATCTAGTCAATTTGGGAGAGAGTTTAAATTAAGAAATGTAATTGATCAAAATTTTAGTTATTTAAAAAACAATTATGATTATATAATAATTGATACAAATCCTAGTTTAAATATAACTAACGTGAATGCTTATTCAGTAGCAAATAATATTATTATTGTTTCTGACAATTCTATACATTCTTGAAGAGCAGTTGAAACAATATTTAAAATGTGAGAAGCAATAACAAAATCTATTAAAATAAAAAATAACATTAACGCTATTGTTTTATCTAATTTTGATCATTATACAATATCAAAAGATTTTACAAGTAATTTAAATGATAGTAATTTAAATAAATTTTTAATAAAACAAGAAATTCGCAAAAAGCAAAAGTATAAGCTAAGTGAGATAACAGGCATACCAATTGTTAAAACATTAAAACAAATAGAAAATCCATATTTTGATATTGTAAATGAACTAGAACAAAAAGGAGTTTTGTAGTATGGAAAAGAAAGTTAATCTTTTTAAAGATTCAAAATTAAAAGATATTGATAATTTAACAAATAATTTAATTGGAAACACAAATAATGAACACATAAAACAAGAAAGTGGTTCTAACAAAATTAACATTATTCCAAAAAATAAAAGTATTCGTAGAATACCACTAAATTTAACTATATTGCCAAGTAAAATTAATAAATTAAAAAATATTGCTAAGCAAAATAATCTTTCGGTTTCTGCTTTATTAGAGCAAATTATTGACCAATTATAGTTATGGTTAAGTTCATATAAGGTGACATTAATTTTTATAAAATCCTGAATTATACTTGCACTTACAAGTATAATTCAGGATATTTTTGGTTAACTTGGTTTATATTCACTTGTTGAAGGTTGATTTTTGATATCGATACGATCACTTTTAATTTCAAATTTAACAACTTGTTCAAATTTATTTTTTAATTCGATATTTTCTGTTTTTTCAGTTTCTTTTTCATTTTTAATTTTAAATTTTTGATTATCCAATTNTTCAACAAAATACAAAGATGATAATTTCATTATATATAGATTAGATTTAACATCATTGATGTTAAACAAAAATTGATATTCTACAATTAATGACGCAGAAAAACCAACTGAAGATATGATTAAAAATATACTTAAAAAAGAAGGTATTGATACATCACAGGTTACTATCAAAATAAAAAAAGATAATAAAATTAAAATTAAAGCTAAAAAAAATTCAACAAAATATACAGGCAGTTTTACTGTTAATTATACATTAGATACTAGACAAAATCTAGCAATCCAAAAACAAAATAAATCAACTAACAAAATAATTTCATTATCAAAAAAATTATTTTTCAGAAATATAGGTACTATTGCAACTAATGGTCAAAAAAAACCAACTGAAGATATGATTAAAAATATACTTAAAAAAGAAGGTATTGATACATCAGAAATAGACATAACAAATATTACTGATACATCAGCTACATTTTCTGCTAAAAAAAATTCAACAAAATACAAAGATGATAATTTCATTATATATAGATTAGATTTAACATCATTGATGTTAAACAAAAATTGATATTCTACAATTAATGACGCAGAAAAACCAACTGAAGATATGATTAAAAATATACTTAAAAAAGAAGGTATTGATACATCACAGGTTACTATCAAAATAAAAAAAGATAATAAAATTAAAATTAAAGCTAAAAAAAATTCAACAAAATATACAGGCAGTTTTACTGTTAATTATACATTAGATACTAGACAAAATCTAGCAATCCAAAAACAAAATAAATCAACTAACAAAATAATTTCATTATCAAAAAAATTATTTTTCAGAAATATAGGTACTATTGCAACTAATGGTCAAAAAAAACCAACTGAAGATATGATTAAAAATATACTTAAAAAAGAAGGTATTGATACATCAGAAATAGACATAACAAATATTACTGATACATCAGCTACATTTTCTGCTAAAAAAAATTCAACAAAATACAAAGATGATAATTTCATTATATATAGATTAGATTTAACATCATTGATGTTAAACAAAAATTGATATTCTACAATTAATGACGCAGAAAAACCAACTGAAGATATGATTAAAAATATACTTAAAAAAGAAGGTATTGATACATCACAGGTTACTATCAAAATAAAAAAAGATAATAAAATTAAAATTAAAGCTAAAAAAAATTCAACAAAATATACAGGCAGTTTTACTGTTAATTATACATTAGATACTAGACAAAATCTAGCAATCCAAAAACAAAATAAATCAACTAACAAAATAATTTCATTATCAAAAAAATTATTTTTCAGAAATATAGGTACTATTGCAACTAATGGTCAAAAAAAACCAACTGAAGATATGATTAAAAATATACTTAAAAAAGAAGGTATTGATACATCAGAAATAGACATAACAAATATTACTGATACATCAGCTACATTTTCTGCTAAAAAAAATTCAACAAAATACAAAGATGATAATTTCATTATATATAGATTAGATTTAACATCATTGATGTTAAACAAAAATTGATATTCTACAATTAATGACGCAGAAAAACCAACTGAAGATATGATTAAAAATATACTTAAAAAAGAAGGTATTGATACATCACAGGTTACTATCAAAATAAAAAAAGATAATAAAATTAAAATTAAAGCTAAAAAAAATTCAACAAAATATACAGGCAGTTTTACTGTTAATTATACATTAGATACTAGACAAAATCTAGCAATCCAAAAACAAAATAAATCAACTCGTGATCTGAACTTATCGACTGGTCTAGTTTCAAATGTAGGTAATACTATTGGTAAACCAATTATTCAAACAGATATCATCAAAGATACACCTATTACTGAACTAATATCAATTCCGACTATATATGAACAAAACACGTTAAGTTATTATAAAATATTAGGATTACCAATTACATCAACATTAAATGAAATTAGAAAAGCATTCAAAAAACAAGCTCGATCAGAACATCCTGATAAAAATTTTAATAATCTAGAAGCAACTGTTAACTTTCAAAAGTTAAATGAAGCATATAATATTTTAGTTAAACGAAAAGAAGATGAAGTAAAATTAGTTACTGAAGAAGAAAAATCTAATTTATTAATAGATGCTGCTACTAACAGTGATCTAAAAAAAGTTAATAAATTAATATTAAAAGGTGCTAATGTAAATCCTGAAAATAAAGATGGCAATACAGTTTTACATATGGCTGTAGAAATGAAGAATTTAGAATTGATTGAGAAGGGCGTTGATTACAATAATGAAAAACATAAAACCAATATCACAATTAATAGTAAGCCGACAACAACTATATCAAATGAAAGAATTAAACAATCATTAGTTAAAAAGCATAATAAAAATGTCATTTTCATTATATCTAAATCCGAAAAAAAT